TCCATAGTGCCGAGCCAAAGGGTTTACAACTCATGGTTTCTGGATACGTAAAAAAAAAAAAAAAAAAGAAAGAGCGTTAATGGGATTGTCATAACTGCTGTGATGGAGGTTCTTAACCTAACTGGTAGGGTGGGTCTCTTTGGAAATTACGACGATGATGATAATGATCTTGATAAAAGTATTGATAACGATGAAAATGGTGTTAGTGATACGTAAGAGTTTGAGATAGATTTTTTGTAATGAACAGGCAGACAGATTGGCTGGATCCGAGCCACAGGGTGGTAAATTGATACATGACAAGGCAGATGTGGTCAAGGCCCTTTGGGAACAAGCAACGGAATTAGTAGAGAAAGAAGATTATTATGGCCTGGAGAGAATGAGGCACCTGTGTGTAACCAGAGGGTCTGGCCGGCTCACTACACTCAGAGGAAAGGCAAGACGGATTTTAACCAGATTGTGACCGGTACCATCAGTATTGGAACTCTGCGCTGGCTGCTGAAGATGAGGACGGAGCATGCATGGGAATGCCCCGAGTGCTGTGATGTCAATTCTTGACTCTACTCAACTCATAGATTTTTTTGTAATCCTAAGTATGGAAAACTTGTATTTTATTCTATTTTAAACATGTCTGCAACATTATTTGTGTGTGTGTGTGTGTGTGTGTGTGTGTGTATGTGTGTGTGTGTGTGTGTGTGTGTGTGTGTGTGTGTGTGTGGGTGTACAAATAAACGTCTACATTAAAATTAAAAACAAAGACAGCTTGAGGAAATCATTAACAGTCATCTCATTACATCGATGTCACGCTAGTGCGGTTTTCTGACATCGATTACGTTCTCGTTTGCCAATGCCAATCACGCAAATAATAATAATAACGGGAAAAGATGTGCCCTGTTTTTTAAAGTACACACGTAAAAACGCATGTTGTAATCTCACAAAGCAAATCTTGTGTATGTCAGATGATCTGCGCTATGCTAAGATATGCTTCTCAATTACGTTTGGAGAAAAAAATTTCTCTTGTCTTGAACTTGTTTACCCTTGTGCCTTAGATTCACTGTGTTCTTTCACAGAGATGTCAAATGTAGTTTTGACTAGAAATGTTATGTTCTTCGTTGCGGACACAGTTTTTGTCTTTAATAACTGACGTGTGTATCATCATCATCAGGTAGCAGGTCCTTTGCAGAACGTCGCTCTCACCACGGTCTGCCTGAAAGAAACTCGGTCTCTCGCCAGCTCTCCCGCCTCATGCACTTTCATACTCAAGGAGTCACTTATATCATGTGCCCATCTTCGTGTTGGTCGGCCCCTGCCTCTCTTTCCTGGTACCATGCCTTCTGCCATAATTTTTTCGTATCGCTTGATATGACCAAAATATTTCAGCTTCCGAGACAGGATGCTGTTTATTATCGAATCTTCCTTAATATTCAGATTTTTTAAGATGTCAGTATTTCTACTCTTTTTCGTCCAATAATATAAATGTTGTATGAGTGTGGTATTGTCATACATGCTGTAAAATTGGTATCAGTCCTCTATTTGTAGAGTCAGTCGCCACTCAACGGGTGGAGTAGTCAAAATCACGGGGTCGTCTTTACTTTCCAGAATATTTCGTGCCACAAATGTTCAGACTGCTTCGACTTCTTCTTGGCGTTCACCAGCTGTAAATTCCGGCGAAAAATTCTTGTTGTTCGTCCACTTCTTGACTGTAGTCCTGTTCCAGAACCTAGGTGTTGCTTGCGCAACCATTAACTCACTTGAATGCAGACTGTTGGTTCCTTGCCTCTCAAGCAGATGCACCCCGACTTCAAAGGAAGCTCCCAGTTAGTCGACTCTTACGAAATGATTTTGGGGAGCCATTGAGTCTATTCTTGTTTTTCCCTCCAATAGGGCCCCAGAAGCCACAAGGGGAGAGTCGATTGAGAACTAGATCCCCCCCCCCCTTTTTTTTTGTTTGTTAATCCACTAGGATGATTTTAATTTATGACTACCGAACCAACAGGTCAGTGAGCTAGCCAATGCACAATTACAATTCTCTCTGAATAATGATGATTAAGATTATTAAATTGTCACACAACATGTATTTCCATGTAACAATTAATAATCAAAAACTGGTAACTGTGCAATTACTAAATTCGTTTTTTTTTTCTTTCTTCGAACAGATCAATCAATCCATTACACAAGCGGCAAGAGTGAACTACCTTATCTGATCAATCTTCATACCGTGTCAGGTTTTTTCCCTTACTGAAGATCAAATCAAGAATCAATGATCATGCCAGCTAACATGAACGAACAAAGTGCTAGCAGGATCTGTAGTCTGAAAAGCTGCCAGTCAGGGCCTGTACGTTATTACGCTACAAGAAGTACTATGCGAAATTCATTTTTGTCTAACAACGCAGCAACATGCCAAAACTGTTGAATTCAAAGCAAAAAAGTGCCAAACAGTTTAATCTGTAAAATACAAATTTATAATTCAATAGTAGTCTTGTGCATTTATCGATACTAAATCATGACGCACATTGGAAATTTCAGTTCACTAGTGGACTTGCAGGACACGGTGAACTTCTCCATAGAAGAATTTTTGTTGGTTTCCAGGGAATATCAGTCAGACGACCACTGGTTTTCGAAAGAAGCCGAATATTCTATCATCATTTGTTTCGTCGTTCTTATTTTCCTTGGACTGGCGACTAACGGTGTGTTATTCTACATCATAGCTGGCAAAGGGCGCCATCAGTCTTCGAGAAACTGGTACATTCTCAACCTGGCAGCAAGCGATATCCTGACATGCGCAGTGTGCAAGCCACTGACGGTAGTCCGGCTTGTCATGAAGAATTGGGTGTTAGGGGAAACCCTGTGTAAGCTAGTCACGTCATTACAGACTGTATATGTGTTCGTATCAACCTTCACTTTGGTCGCCCTAGCCGTAGACAGATACAGCGCCATCATCTACAACAAGCACCAGACACGAAGGAAACACTGTGTCTTCATTTGTCTCAGCTTTATATGGACTGCATCTTTCTGCATATCCATACCTATGGTTGTTGTTCACGACATTGAGCACGTCAAAGGTTTCAACGGGAACGTACTGTATTCCTTATGCACAGAGAAATGGGAGTCAGAAACTGCTAGAACAACCTACAGTGTGCTTGTTTTGCTATTGCAGTATCTTTCTCCCCTCGTCGCCATTGTAATACTTCATTTATTCATTGGCAGATTTCTCGGCTCGAGGCTTCCAGGTAGTTCTGCAGATGATGCGAGTATTCGTCGAAAGCAAAGGCGACACAGGAAAAATATTATTCTACTGTCAACTATAGCCATTGCTTTTGGAGTCGCATGGTTTCCGCTGCATTTTGTCAACGCTCTTGTTACTTTGGACTATTCTTTGTTTACTGGCATTGACTTCCCACTGCTGCACGCTCTATGCATGATGTTGGCTTTCACTTCCGTTTGCCTTAACCCCATTATCTACGGCCTGCTGAACACCAACGTCCAGCGCGATTTCATGAAGATGTGCGTCGGATATAAGTCTCAGTTTCACCTTCTACACAGACTATACTAGGAGATCCAGTCCCAACCAAGAACAGCTTGGGCTTATATCAACACCGCACGAGATTGTCAACAGCAATGTTTATGTGTGCAAAACAAAGAGCTGCAATCACATGAGCGCTATCTGACGTGTTGTAGTCATTTGGAACTGGTTCTTCTATATGTGATCAGTGCTCAGTCTTCGTATATCCTTACCTCTTCGGTGAGACAAATCCTTTGTCCTTGGCCAACACAATTTCATTTTTTGAAGTGGCAAACACTTGAAATGATTTGCAAGACAGCATTGAAAATTAGATCGTTTTGAAAACGGCTTGGTATATCATACAGAGACCATATCAAAAACGATGAAGTTGGCCGTCTCGTCACTCCATACATGGCGACTATTAACCTGTTTTAAAAGAACAGTGAAGTGGTGTAAAATGCAACTGAACGGCAAAGTAATGGGATCTACTGTTCTCTCCAAAACTACAGAGGAGAAGAGGCAGACTAAGAAAGATCTGGATACAGAATTTGGACAGGCCTCAGATATGTAGACATCAAATTTGTGGCATACATTGCACTTAGTGGGCAAAAATACTGCTTTTTCTGTTAGGAAGAAGACCCTTCACTGCACCAGACATATCCACAGAAGCTCGCTATAGTCGCAATATCAAAACATAGTCTCAAGTGTCAACTTGGTGACGACAGATGATTGTGCCTGGCTAAATCACCGCATCTTATTCTCAGCCAGTACTTTGCCAGTTAAAAAGGAAAACATTTGAAGCGAAGACATCTTTCTTTAAAGAAGCTTATATGTATGTACAGTCTGCATAATGTCGGTGTCGCAGACGGCAAGTGCCCGGATTTAGGGGCCTCATTAACTAGGTAACGACCATTATTAAGCAGGACTTTTTTTTTCCCCTTGATACCCGAAGAAGAAAACAAGAAGAACTGGACCATTCACGACTGAGTAAGGGGCGACTTTGAATGTTAATGGATCAGTCCTGCCACCATTCAAAAAGACCCCGAAACTTACACAAGTTTTAAACCAAAAAGATTTGAACATTTTTTTAAACCATTTTTAGAATGTAGGCATGCGATCTTTGAAAGGTTTAGACATTAAATTGAACATGTTTGAATTGAAGGAGGGTCGCAAAGTATGAAATAAATATCCCACAAACAAAAGGCTGTAGTAATCAATATTTTTTAATCACTGACAAAGTAAACTATAGCAACCATATCCTAAATGTATGTCAGTAGAGAACACGATAAAAAATATACACCTTTAATACAGTGTTATTGTAGGAGTTAACAATAACTGAAATTAACAGTAAGACGTTAACTATAGATTCTACAGGGTAAACTATTTCCTGTAATCAGCCAACCTTAATAAATCTTTAAAAAGTTGCTAACTAACTGGAACAGACCTGAAAGAGCGAGAACAATGAGAAGAAATACAAAATGATACATATTATTCTATTTGCTGCGTCGCGTGCTGTTGGAATCTTGATTACCCTTGGTCGTCAGACAATCAAAATCAATAGTAGTTGGCTGTTCTCCCCACCCCCCCCCCCCCCCCCCCCCCCCCCCCCCCCCCCCCCCCAATCTTCTTCTTTTTAACTAAAGAAATCAAAGAGGAATTTCTGTAAAACCATGATGGAAAAATGAGTCCCGGTAGCGTAGTGGTATCAGCTTGTCTTACAGCAGACACTCGTCTGACGGTCAAAAGTCTACGGTTTAAATCCCATTCGATGCGGGTTGTCTCCCCCTTTCAGAAGCTGCTCGCAGGTCAACACAGGTTAAGATGAGTACCAGGCTGTGTCCGGAGAGGTAGAGGCAGTCAGCGAGATGTTGACCACATCATCAGTCGAGTGCCCATTGGTCAGTAAAATATGGGTCTAACCCTATTTGCACAAAATACCCGAAGGCGTGGGAAGGGTATTTTACATTACGGTATGTCTGAGAAAAACTAGCGTGACGCATTCTGAGGACACAATTACAATTTAGGCATTGAAATTAAAAACATACAATCAGGGTTCATGGCCCATTTATTCGGCACATAATGAGAAGCCGCCTGTTGAGAGCGTAAGACAAACTACGAACTCCGTACTTAAGCGACGACCCCAAAAGATCTCCAAAAATTTCACATCTGAACCAAATTAAAGTCTATAAACGAATCCGTTACACTCAGAGTGCGAGGTCTACCCACCCCCCGCCCCCCCCCCCCCCCCACCACAATTTTTTTTGGTACACACTTATCACACGTCAAAGCTGAAAATACTCATTTGTTTTGTTTTGCGATTTCAGTTCTCCTGTAACTGATATGCTTTTAATTAACAAAAAACGCTACCCTTGACTATAATTAAAAGATAATTGTAACATTTCTCATGATTTGTCACGAACGGGATTTGTGATTGTCCACACGACGCAAAAAAAGGGAAGAAAAACCCCAGATTAGCATAATCCTACAAACACGAGTTGTACTTTTATGACATCTTAGTAGGGATTTTTTTTTACCAGAAAATCAGTAGACGCGTTCGAGGTTTTTTTTTTTTTTACATGAACGCATGGCAGAAAAGTGAATGCTTAAGAACATCGCACTGTTTTAGAGTGCTGGCCAGTCAAGAGCGCCAGACCTAATCTTGACCGGCCACAGAAGGCTTTAGGGAATTTCGACGGGAGCACACAGGCAACATAATAACGTTTTGACGAAAAAAAAAAATTTTTTTTTTAAATTAACCAGAGAGCAACAAAAGTACTTTATAGCATAAATACAAATTTTTAAAAATAATAATACAAAGATAAACGAATGAAACGACCTGGCAATACAAATTAAAATTGTGATGGCGGAAAAACAGAAACAACAGTGGTTTTATTTCCGTAGACAAAAATGGAAAAGGAAAATAAATGAAACAAAAACATACATTATGGATAATTCTGATGTTATTACTAGGGCTGTACCGAATATTCGCTTCGTTTTCGCTTCGGGGCCGAATAGTGGACCTAATGACTCTTCGGTATTCGGCCGAATAGTTGCGATCGGGCCGAATACGAATAGTGGTTACCTTACTCCCGTTTCTGCATACACTGCGATAGACTGAAATAACTCTCTCATTAACACAATAGTTGCTGTTGCCTAAGTCTGTCGTAGCGGGGGAAACTGGGACCTGGCTTCGAAGTACAAACTGCATAAAATGCCAACCGCAGTGTGTGTGTGGGTGTGCTTGTGTGTGTGTGTGTGAGTGTCTTTGTGTAAGAGAGAGAGAGAGAGAGAGAGAGAGAGAGAGAGAGAGAGAGAGAGAGAGAGAGGTAGGGGGAGGAGAGAGAGAGATCACGCATTTTTCGTTCTTTCAGGGTGTCTTCGCCCAAATTAAATTTAAAGATATTCCTAACAAGAATTACATCAAACGAACGGCCGAGCGAACGATGGTTTTGAAAGAGGCGGGAGCCCGAAGACAACTAATCACAGACATCAGTAGGAGACAGTAGTCATTTTTCAGCCATGTTATGAGAAGAAGGAAAATGGAACATTTGGTGACCACTGGAAAGATTTGTGGAAGGAGGGATAGAGGAAGACAACGATAGAAGATTCTTGTCAGTCTTGTTGCATGGCATGGAGTTGTGTCAGCACACGAACTGATACATGCTGCAGGAGATAGCAGATTTTGTAAAAAGGCATGATCGCCCACGCCAGTCGGCAAGGCACCTGATGATGATAATACACTATTCGTATTCGTATTCGGCCGAATAGTTGGTCCCACTATTCGTATTCGGCCGAATAGTGAAAATCACTATTCGGTACAGCCCTAGTTATTACGATAGTTGTTTTTACCTCACCAACATAGCAAAGTGATGTGTCTATAGTCAAAGCTGGTATGTTTTCTTTTTTGCGTCACCACATGTAACATTTCTATATCTGGCTGTATTGACTTCAGTTTCAATGTTTTCACTGCATTTTGCAATGTTATTATTACTGTTTACGGA